CTGGGAGGACCCACTAAAAATGACTCAATGTGCTCCAAGAGCGGATGAAGAGTGGGGAGTGGCTTATGCAGAGTAGGTAAAACAAAGTTCCGTCTTCATCTTTCCTTGTTTTCTTTCTTTCTTTCTTTCTTTCTTTCTTTCTTTCTTTCTTTCTTTCTTTTTTTTAGGGAAGATGGCAGGAACCATGAAAGAGCCGTTGAAGAAGTCATCCCTACCCCAGAGCAGCCCGGTGAACGAGTTGGACACTTCTGATTAACCCGGCAGAACAGAGGCGTCCGGACTGCCTGACTGGCAAAGGACGCTATCTCCCCGACCTTTCTGAACTAGCTGTCGGTCCCTCCCTCTGCATTCCCGCCCCACTCCACGCTAGAATGAACCCTCCTCTCACCTTCCCAAGTCCATATGGAAACCGCTGGCTGTTACTGGGTGGGCAGGAGGGGGGTGCATAGACCCTGAGGGGCCACCACCTATATTCTGGCACTCCCCAGGCTCAGAGGCTTGCTTTGGTGCCTAAGGGTGGGAAGGAACAGACTTCAGAATAAAAGTTGGTTGCACTCAACTTGTTGGACTCTTAATTGGTCCAATCCCTCTGGACCACAGATTCAAACCCATTTCCTGCCTTCTCAAACCGACCAATCCCCAAAGAGGTGAAGGGTAAAGACTCATTTCCCCTAGGAAGACTTTCTGTTATCTTGCATCACACAGGGCTCCTGGCTGTACCATAAATGCTGTAAATAGATAGAGATATACATATACATATAGATATAGCTATATGAAGTAAATGGAAGAAACTGTGGAGTTTTGCTTCCCATTAAGTGTGAAAACCTAGACTCACGTGTCGCTATTCTTTCGGGAATGCCAGGTACCATTTTCCAGAAAGACAGGTTTGCTTTTCTCCCCGTGCGTAATGGTCAGCTTGGTCCTTTCCATTCCCTCCACTCCACGGCAGGCCCTGTCACAGTCTGTATCTGAATCCTACGCTCTGGATTACAGATTTCTGAAGCTATTTATTACATCTCAAGAAATATATTTGTGGTAGCTGTCACATAAAGCTGATATATTCTGCTCTAAAAGAAAGCTAGAGAGGCGATTTCTTTGTGCGTAAAAGGAACACGATTCCATTGGAGAGGGAGGTGTTATTTTCGAGGCAAGTACATGGGGTGGCATAGCACCATGGAGCATTATTCGAGCTTCATCTACTATGCACTATATGCCACCGTCTCCAAAGGAGTGTTGCCCTAGAAACTTGTTTTAAATCTGCTGCTATATATCAACACCTTGTTTTCGCAGTCCTTGGCTGAATTACAGTTACACAGTTTGGCGCTTCTTTCAAATTTCCTCCCATCAGTTTGGCTAAAGAAAGGAATTTTTCTCCTTTAGAAATGAATTGGCTTAATTAGTAAGTAGATTAATGGCAATTGCTGGTGAGTTGGTTTCCAGCAGAGTTTCACCAGAGAGGGTTAATCGGAGTCAGGTCTGGAATCTTTCCCAGAACTGGCTGCCAGCCATTTCCACCAACCAATCACCCCTACCAGAAACAGAGGAAATGAAATAAAATTTATATTCTCTGTGCCACTATCCTGGACCGAAATGCCTTGGACGCATCCTCCTCACTGCAAGGACACAGTAGAGGCTGTTGCCTTGCAGGATTTTTTAACACATGTTAACCTTCAAGATTTATTTGGGGGCCAAAGCAGAATTTCAAATGGCACAAGCAGTGTCTCCACAGAACACTTAGGCGCATGGGAAACTTCGGAGGCTCTCGGTCAATTTCAGGTTGAGAGAAGTTGCAATGCCACACCCCTCCCCAAGTCCTTCCCTCAGTGCGTTGTCTACCAGACGTCTTTCAAAAGTTTTGCTGTATGTTTCGCAGCCTTTTCACTTATTTTTTTCCATAGTGATAAAAATGCATTCATAGTTTAACTTGCAGCTGTGAAAGTCTTGCAAAAAAAAAAAAAATCCCTGCTGAGAAATGCATATAATAGGAAAAACAGATCGACTGGACAGCAGTGTAATTAATGCCAGAAAGGGCTGAGGCCGGTTTCATAGTTTGTCTTTTGAGGATATCAAGACGAGACCTGGTGAAAAATGACGCATGCTTTAGCATTTCAGAAAGCTGGCAACTGGCAGCGCTTTTCCTTTTTTCTTTGACTTTCTGCGGCAGAACAAAGAGGTCGGCAGAACTAGCTAGGTTGTAATGAGTTCTATGTCCCTAGCACATTAAGTGCATCATGGAAACATATTGTATCGAAATAGTTTGGAGGAGAATACCGGGGATGAAAGAGAATGGGTGCTTTGATCAGCTCCCGGGGGTTCTGAGCGCGCACAGACTGACTTGCAAGGAGTTATTCAGCTCCAGCTAGACACACTTACAACACCATTCAAAGAAATTTGCATATCTGTAATTTATCACATTGGTCCAGAACATTATTGCAAGGTAAATAAAAGTTGGTTGAATAAAAAAAATCAATCATCGTAGATATAGAGGAAACTGTGGAGCCAGTCTTTCCACTAAACACAGAAATAAATATGTCCATAAGACCTGACAATTTAGAAGCTGACTTTATTTTTAAAGTGTCTTTAAGAGCAACAGGTCGTGTGCTGGCAAAAACAAGGGTGGCCACAATTGATTTGCCTTTCTGCTTTAGGAGAGGGTTATTTGCAACTTCCCACTGAAATGAAGTCAGAAAGTTGAATGAGACGCCTGTGACTAGAACTAGCCCATGACCTGCAGAGAAAAATTAGTACACACTTTGAGGAGATTCAAAAGATGGCTTAATCTCCTTGGCATCTGCAAGCACGAAGGTTAAATCTCATTCCTTCTCCTGTTGATTTCATTGCCAAAGCCTGGTCGCCGAATTTAGCTCCAGAGGATGAAATGTCCAGAGACCTGGTCAACAGGAAAAGTTGCTTTCCAATGCCCCATGAGAACAAGGGAACATGTAACAGGCAGGCATTGTTCTGAGTTTTTAAACAACCCAGTTAAACAGCAAACAAGAATCTTCAACTTGACCTTGGAAAAGGCTGTGTGCCTGCAGATAATCTATCAAACAAGTCTGGATGACAATGACATATTTCAAAGTATTGTCAGAGGAAAAGATTGATAAATTTGCAGTTGCAAAGAGAGAACTTTGGAAACAGGCAACAGGCAATTTAGCTCACCAACTCCGCCTCCTTCTCTGTCCTCACTGCTCCATCCCCAGCCCTCCACCCCAGCCTCCGGCAAGAGCACCAGTAAATCAGCACTGTAGTATTTCTTAAGGGGCACGGAAAAGCTGTGAACAGTACTTCTCATATTAAACGCAATATTTCTTTGCTTTCGTGGGGAACAAAAGTCGTAGTGAGACGTCTTTATGGCTAATTCAGTCAAAGGCACATCTCTGGTTCCCCCCGCAGAAAGGTCAGTGTCGCTGTGTTTGGTCCACCGAGGGGGTGTTTTCACACTGAAAACTGAGCCAGCTGTCCCTGTCATACCCTCGCCATTGGGGAGCGCGCACTAGCCATGCTTATTAGGCACATTCTACACCTGCAAAATATACCGATTTCCAAGACTTTTCAAGATACCCTCCCGTTCTCATGCCCCCTCCTCTTTCGTCTACTAAACGTTGACAACACAATTCAAGCCCTGGATGAAAGCGCTGCACGCAGGCGAACGCTGGGGAGGGGGGGCGCTCGGCGACCGTCTCGCGGCGTCTACTGAGCAGCCATCAAAGAAATGAGGCGTCAAGGATGTTTTCAAAAGTACGGGAAAAACTCCCAAATAATTGCTTCGATGGGTCACACGTTCGCTCTTGCCACCAACGCCCACCGTTGACGCCTCGTGTGTCATTATATGTACTAGTGTTAGGTGTGGGGTTGCATCTGACCTAAGGGGGCCCTTCATGTAGAAGTGGCTCGTTTTTTTTTTTTTTAAATTGTATTTGTAACTAGCATGACCAATGGTTTTTCAGATGAATTTCTTGAGTCTCCCTATAGGATTCCACGTCTGTTTTGAAAAGTCCAAATGCCAACCCTCACCCAACTAGATTTCATACTAAAATTCCTTCTAGAAACATCCCCTGGCTGGATTTATCAGCTCCAAAGGCTCTCTCTCCAAAGATAGGCGACTAATGAGCTGTTTCTGAGACGCTTAGTGACCCAAGCAAGAAAGGAGCTAAAGGGGACCCTGTACAATCGCTGAAGAGAAACTGTAAA